TCCATGCAATTCCAGACTCTCCCATGGCTTGGAAGCGCTGTAAAGGCAGGTCGAGAGCACTTTTATTTTGCAGTCGCTTAGTGTACTTTCATACCAGGTTACTGCAGTTTCTGGTGCCTTGTCTTTCTGCCTTCTCTTGTCAAGGAAATCTCGCCCAATAGTGCTGTTCTCTCTTTTTAAATATTTTTTTTTCTCTTGCAGACCCTTCAGCTGTGCTGCCTCTGTTGCATGTGTCGTGCAGGAATTTTAACCAGTGACAGCATCAGTGAATTGACTCATGGTTTGTATAGTTCTTCTGTGTCTGTGTATGTGAACATTTGCATGGATGCTTTTTCTGGTGGAGTGAGCATTTAAATGGAAGAAGCCAGAGTGTTTGGGAGCATAAAGTGCAAGTAGGCTGGATGTTGTGGAATAGCTAACCATGAGCAGGGATTAATTTGTTAAGCCCTCCGTGCTAAAGCTGGAAGGAGCAATGTGAAATAGCAAAGCAAATGAATGAGGTAGTAAATACATCCATGTTCCCATGTGTGATTAGAAAGATCAATGCGTGTGTAGCCACAACAGCAAAACCTCATGTATCTGTTGTGGAAGTGGCGAGACAAAAGTAATGAAAAGATTTGGGTGGGAGAGCGGAAGGAGCCAGGCGACGCAGGCTAAGGGAAAACAAACCTGGGGAGAAATGGCTTGTGTGAGTGGGAGCTGAGCAGCTGTTTGTTCCCAGGCTGCAGAGGCTAACGTAGAGATGCTGATAACTCTGGGATGTTTGAAGCGGAGTGTATGCTTTCTATTGGGTGTGAGTAGAACAAAGTACAATAGAGAACCACACCAGGGTGCAGAAGGGAAAAACTTTTTGCGCCCTATTGTCTGCTCACTGGGGGATTCCCTCTTTCCAGCAGCTGCTTGTGTTTTTTGGCCACCAGCCTGCATAGCATCCTCAACTTCTGCCACTGATTAACACCACTCGAGGAAAGGGAAAGCTCTTGATGTATGGCTTCCACTGTCATAAGGATAAACAACCTATCAGTGTTATGTTTCCAGCTTAATGTGTGTCCAATGAAATCTATTCAGGCAAAGAGATTGATAGTTTTTGCAAGTTCTATTGCAACACAAGAAGGTTTTTTCTTCTTTTATAATGGTGATGTTTCAATTTGGGAAGGGAAATGAATTGTTTTGTCAAATGCATGGATGTCTGTAAGTGTCCACAGAGAAATACAGCTCAAAACTTAAATGAGATTGGAAAGCAGCTTATTCAGCATAATTGCTTATGTGATCAGAAATAGATGCAAAGATCCTAGTTCAGGAGACAGCCTAAATTCAGACCCTGCTTCCAGGGTGCAAGTAGTCCCTGCATGGCCAGATTAGCACCGATGGTAATGTATAAACTAGGCACCTACTTATACAGCCAGCTGAATTGTAGCATCTGTTTTTTCCCTTTCTTAGGTAATTGTGAGTAGATCTCAACCTTCTCCTCACAAGTAGTTTTGTAATTTTTCACATATTTTATCCAAAGCAATAAACGTCTTTGACATGCAATTAGCAATGGCTGACTAAATATTATTAGGTAGGATGTAATCTCTTTTTGCTGAAGGTCAGTTACAATTTGAAACCCAGTCTAATCAAGTCACGACGAAGAGATGATGTCTCGCTCAGTTAAGGCATTAATAAATTAATCCTTTAATCCATTTGAACAAGTGGCACAGTTCTGCAAAGTCTCAGTCATGGTTACTTCTACAGTGATACAATATTTGCTGCATTCTTAGGGGAGGAAAAAGCCTCTCAAACCAGAGCTGCCTTCACATTTGACAGCAATTAATACAGGGGGAGGGGAAAATCTACAGATCTGCTGGTGATGACAAATGTCTTCAGAGGAGCAATTGTAGGAATGTTCACAGCTATGCTAGTTAGTCTGTGCCTCTCAGTGAAGCACAAAAGAAACAAACATGGTCTGAGAGCCTGTGTGACTTACAGGGGTGAATTTTTGCAGGCAAGGCTACAACACACAGAGCTTGCAGGCCAGTCCCTAAACGAGGGAATACTTTATGCCGTGGTGCCCAATGCTTACTGTGTCAGTGGTGCTTACCTCGTCTGTAGGGTACAAAAGCTGATGGCTAACTTTTTCTCGTTACAGATTATGTGTTTGTGACACCTGTCAAAGTGGATTCCCGTGGATCGTACATCTCACATGATGTTTTGCACAGTATTAGGAGAAAGAGAGCAACTCAGAGTTCAAAGAGTTCATTGCACTACAAATTTTCAGCATTTGGACAGGAGCTTCACTTAGAACTTAAACCTTCGACCATTTTAAGCAGCAGTTTTATTGTCCAGGTACTCGGGAAAGATGGAGTGTCAAATTCTCAGGAACATGAAATTGAGCAGTGTTTCTACCAGGGATTTATAAGGAATGATAGCACCTCTTCGGTAGCAATATCTACATGTGTAGGCTTGGTAAGTGTCTATTTAAAACAAATTAGCATTAAAAGTATTTTCATCTGTGGAATAGTAGCTGAAGGTATGTAATTCATATACCATTCAGGATACCATACACCATTTTCTGATTTTCCTGATACCACTGGTTGCTATTGCATTTAGCAGAAGAGATTTAGTTCTAGCCAATGAATTGCACTACACCCTTTGTATTTTCTGATGACAGTCTTTCAGGAGAAAAACCCAGAAGACTGGCTGGTAGTCCTAGTAATTATCCCATGGCAATTTATCATAGTTTGTGATAGTTTATACATTTTTGCTCACTCTTAAGTAAATGGTCTTCCTGCCTTTGTGAACTATGAATAAAGGAAAACCAAATCCATCTAGAAGCTTCAGAAAAAATATTATTCCTAGGTATAGTCAACTGCTTTAAGGAAGGGTGAATTTCCTAGATCAGCAGGAGTTGCAAGCCAATTTCCCTTTGTTTCCTTTGATAATGCAAGCTTTATTTGGGTTTACAAGTCTTGATGAGTTGGTATCTTAGCAATGTGTTAAATATCATCATGGCATATTTTTCTTTTATGGCTGTCATTCAAGTTCATGAAAAATTATTAATTACAAGTGACAGTGCTCATTGCCTACAGAGAAATCTTTACTGATGTAATTTAGAAGAATCATCTAGAGAATTAATAGGTACTGATGTTTTTCAGGCTTCAGCCCTTGCACTTGCAAAGCAATCTGCTATGGATGCAGAGTGAGGCAGTGACAATTTAGCATTAGGCATATGAAGTCATCTATATGCTTTGTAGTTGACTAAGGTCCAGGGGATATGTTGGGTCACCCTCTAGAAATCTGTCTTGCAAAGGTACTTGTCTACAAGGGCTATTGAACTGTGTGACGGGACTGAAGAAGGAGCACTTGAGACGGCCAGTGTTTGCTTTGAAACTGGAATCAGTGGCTTGAGAAGCCTGTTCATTAGGAAGGGCTGTTGGTAACTGGTTGAAGCAGTCTGGGTTGTATTTTGAATGCTCTACTCATTTATTTTTTGTAAAATTTTTTTTTCCCCCTCAGCGAGTTAGAGGAATTAGTCTCTTACAGTTGATTCATTTGAACAGTTGCAAATGTGAGTTTGGAGCTGGTGCTAGGAACTGGAATGAGGCTTTTTTGCTTTTAAAGTTGTGATTGTACTGCTGAACTATTAATATCAAATGTGCTTAGTTGTTTCTGGGGAAGCCTCACATTCACAATTGCTAGCTTTTACCAGATGTACTCAGAAAAATACCCTGTTCTCTCTTACTGCACTGTTCT